TAAATCTGTTGGTGTCTCTGTCCAATCAGACGCTCACACATTATTCAACATTATTATTTACATGGAAACAACAAGAGAAGATTCAAATTGGAATTAAAAACATCATGTAAACGTGTCGCCTCTGAGTTCACGTGTTTATTTCGTCTGTGAGCCGAATTAAAGCTCTTCTGTGGTTTATGTGGTCAGACGGTTGCCATGGTAACCTGTAACTGTGATTTCAGGGTGAATCAGGAGAAGATGAAGCGACACAGAGAGACGATCCTTCCGCCGTCCGCCACCAAGAGCCCCACCCCCAAAAAACACGTGGCCGCCTCCCACTCGTACGGTGAGCGCACACAGAGCCGTAGTCACACACCACTGTGAGTTTTATTTCAACACAATCTGAGCATAAAGACCTGACTGACCTGAGCTCCACCAGGCGAGAGCATCTGTCCCTCTACATCCCACTACAGCCAACAGCTTTTTAGTGACTCACTCAACGTTTAGCTGAAAATCAAACAGAACCTTTAACAGAACCGGCCTGATGTCGCTGCAAAGAGAGAGACACTTATTGAAGCTGAGGGAGGTTGAGGTTTTGCTGCTGCAGCATTCGCGCTCACAAAGGACAATCTCAACACTGTTCCTGGACAGTTTTTTGATAGAAAATATGTCACAGCTCATCCAAACTGCTGCTTCAGTCCAGAGCTGAAGACGACTGAGAAGAAGACGTCTCAGTTTCACAGGATCTTCCACAGATCACAGAAGTGTCCCTCCTCACACAACAGGAAAGAGCTCATTCTCACTCCGCTCTGGTGTTCTGCTCGGTCATGAAATGGTTCATTCCCTCACAGTGTTTCTTCTGGAAGATCTTCTGCCACATGTGGTGTAAAAAACCTGTAACATCTCAAATGTCCAGCTCCTTATTCCATGAAAAACATAGAGCTCATTTCACACAATCCAACAGTTCTTTACTTGAGCTTGAGCTCAAAAAACGTTTCAGAAACTGTTCAGCGTGTGAGCCGGGCAGCCACAAGTGCAGCCGTCCACTCTGTTGTCATGTAAAGTTTCAATATAAAGAGAATGTCCAGCTGTTAGATACAGAATTCTCCGTGGCCGAGGTATAAACGCTGATAATGTCTGATTTATGTGACTGCACAGAACCTGAGTCTCGAGAGAACCTGGCTCAGCTCATCGAGAAGGACGTGGTGAGTGCTTCGTCCACCCGAACGCGCCGCTCTCACATTTTCATTTGATTTGTTTTAAACAAACTTTTTGTCCTCAGCAAATCCTGAACTGTGCCCTGGACGACATCGAGATCTTTGTGGCGCGTCTGCAGAAGGCGGCCGAGGCCTTTTCCCAGCTCCGCCAGCGCAACAAGAGTAAGAAGAACAAGAAGAAAGCTCCAGCAGGTCTGTGGCTTTCTTCTGCTCTGCTCAGTCTGAGATGATGTGGATGATTCTCACAGTGTCTTTGTGTCTTTGGACGTTGAGTCTCTATGGAAACTAAACTCTTTATATCAGTGTCACACAAGAAACGTTTGGTTTGTGCCTCGTGAGTTTGACTCCAGTAAACACACAGTTTAACAGTCATCATGTGAGCTGCTGTGTGTGTGTGTGTGTGTGTGCACGTGCACGTGCTGTGCATGTGCGTGTGCTCGTGCTGTGCTCGTCTTTTGTTCCCATTATAATGTTTATAATGAAAACTTCAAAAGGATTCGCTTCATTGTCAGAATCCTTCTCAACTTGTGCCTCTGATGTTTCATGATCTCACTGAAGCTCGTTCGTTTAGTGACGTCACTTTGGGGCCATAAGTTGAGAAACAGTTTGAATCTGTTTCCACGGCAACCACAAGTGAAGAAAGTGAAAAGTGTCTGTACCTGTGTAAGAAACGTCCACTGTGACGGACGTGTGAGTCACATGATGTGATCCTCTGTGAAGGTCATGTGACGGTCCATGAGGTCATGTGATGGTCCATGTGTCACGTGATGGTCCATGTGGTCATGTGACGTCCATGTCCTTATTTGGTGTTCCTGTTGCAGAGGGGATGTTGACTCTGAGGGCGAAGCCTCCGTCTGAAGCCGAGTTCATCGACAGTCTCCAGAAACTCAAACTGGCGCTGAACCTTCTGGTACGTACGGCACCTGTCACTGCTCACCTGTCACTGCTCACCTGTCACTGCTCACCTGTCACTGCTCACCTGTCACTGCTCACCTGTCACTGCTCCCCCTGCAGGCCAAACTGAAGAAACACATACAGAACCCCAACGCCCCCGAGCTGGTGCACTTCCTGTTTGGTCCTTTGGAGCTGGTGAGTGTCAGAGAGACGCCAAAGAGAAACCACCGAGAGTACACAGAGTACACAGTACACAGAGTACTCAGAGTACACAGAGTACTCAGAGTACACAGAGTACACAGAGTACTCAGAGTACTCAGAGTACTCAGAGTACTCAGAGTACTCAGAGTACACAGTACTCAGAGTACTCAGAGTACTCAGAGTACTCAGAGTACTCAGAGTACACAGAG